TAAGGATTTGGAGACCTCTCTGGTGGAAATGTGTAATTGCACATAATGTGCAGAAAAACATGATTCTTCTGATTCTGATTCTGAAAAGAAATTGTAATGACAGTTGTGCTTCAGATCTCCCCGCCCCAAACGGATAAATTTGATGTCTGCGAGCCTGTCGAAAAAATATTTCAAAGAGAACTAATTCAAAACTTGATAAACGAAATATCTTCAAAGGATGTAAGTGAATTAGGTTGCAAACCGAACTAAAGAAAATATGCTTATTTATTAAAAACATTTTGAAAAGCTATCGACTTGTGATGAGCGATGTGTATATATGTATGTATGTGTGTGTGTGTGTGTGTGTGTGTGTGTGTGTGTGTGCGTCACAGAAACTCCCTCCCTCGGGTAATGTCTGTCTCTCTTGTGCCCACATTTAAAAGAGGGAACTGAGACACAAAACAGAGCACTGCACTAAACATCAGCCCCTTCTGACTATTAAAAGAAAGCAAGAGCTGATCTGAGATCTGCTGCCCTCCAGCAACATTTTAACATCACACATCAAACACGCCAGTCACACTACCATTAACACCACTGCGTTATATACAGCTAATGGGTCTTTACTCCACTAGACAAAAGGAAATACACAATAGAAAGAGAACATTTATGAGAAAACTCTCCCCAGGGTGTCACGTTATTCCTCCAAGTTTCAGATAACAATGTCTTCGCTCAAATATCATTGAGCTAAATTCAGCTAAACTTAGAAAAATCTGTTTATCATAACTGCTTTAAGAGAGGCCGTATGTTTGTGATCTAAAAACAGATGCCATGAGATCTAGGTCAAAGACACTGTGTTTTTCAGGGTGGGTCCTGCCATAGAGAAACAAGAACAGAATATCAGAATGATGTTTGGCATTATGTGTCTCAAGAGAAGAGAATAGAGGGGAGTTGAAGTCTAGGGTCTATGCAACAAGGCCTTTGGGTCAAGTTTTAGAGTCCCACACAAATGATTGTATCGCTGTTGTTGGAGCAAAACCTTGCATCTCCAAAATGGTAACTTTACAGGAGAAGGAAAAAACATAGTTTACTTTTAATGTAAGTCAATGGAACCAGACTTTTTTTTCCAGGTAATTTCTGGTCATTTGCTTTGATCCATTCATCATGAAATTCCCAAACAATGTAAAGGACAACTGGCATTTTCAAATAATAAAATAAAATAAAAAAACGACAAAAATGGAGGTTTTGTTTAGACAGCAGAGATATATAAAACAGTTCCTCTGATATATTAAACAGCTTTTATAATATCAAAAAAACTAAAATAAGTTCTTTGTGGTAAAGAACTGTCTACTTTGACAGGAAGGTGCCGTCTCACTGACATGAAAAATAACCAGTCACAGTTGTTCGCAGGAAGTAAAGCACCAAACATGCAATGCTACCTCATAATTAGCTTCTAAAGGCTTCAAATATTAAGATGTGATGCCAAGAACTTCATGTATTTTTCAATCCAGTGACTATAATTTTGCTCCAAAAGACTCGTCATGATACACAAAGCAGGTAACCTTTTGCAAAACTTTCCCGTCTGACAGATCAAAAACATGCAGAAGTGCACAGTCAGTTGTTTGATGTGAAAAGGTTAACAGCTATTTAGCTGAGAGTAAAGTAAAAGACAGTCTGAGCATCTTCAGTGCACCATGAAAATCAGACACAATGAAAAATACAGGCAGCTACAAAATAAACCCAGCAGCGCTCACCTTAAACAGCAGTTCAAAGTCTGCAAACCACGCTAGATTTACTGTTCAAATGAATCAAGGTGAGTCTCGACCAGCACATCCTTCAACTGCGCTTTCCATAAAGAATCTCAAACTGCGTTCATATGTATAGATGTACGACCACAGCGTCCACTGGTTTAACCTCACTCCCAAACCCCAAACGCTCGTTTGCATTTGATGAGATTGGGAGGGGAGCAACAGATCTCATAATTTATTACACCACCTGCTATTGGGCAGCGCTCGGAGAAGGATGTCTTTAAATTATACATGATATCAAGCACTTCGGTAAGAGAAAAAAACAGCCGTGGAATTCCCACTGGATTCCTGCCCCTGAGCAACATTTCAGCAGGACTTAGATCATCTCTAATTCAGACGGATCACTCAGAGCCAAAAACTCGTCCTGACAGTTACTGGGCATGGAGTTCCCAGAACGCACCTGGACAGTCTATAGAAAATGCCCTTATTTGGGCAACTGTGGACTATGGGGTGCAAAACTGAAGCTGGCAGCATAAAGCAAATATTTATCACGTCTTTGTGTGAGTTTAGGCTCCACAAGTTCAAACATACATTTATAGCAAACTTGTCAATACCAAAAGACTCTTGCATGTATCTGTATCCGGATACAACAGCTAAAACTCTATTAGCACAGTGTGAGGGATGGTGACATGGGACAGATGGTCCACCAACATTGTCATGCACAAAATAGTAATAATAATGAGAGGAAGAAGAAGTAGAAGGAGAAAAAGAAGAAG